TGAGTCTTGCCACTCTCAGCACTAACGTACAACTCGTCAAAGAGACAAGTGAAATCAAGGGATTGAATTGTTGAGGGGCATGGTCATCAGAAGCCTGCGGTTACGGAAATGGAATTCTGGGATGAAGAATTGGACAAATTGACTAGGATATTCCTCGGCAACGGATATCAGGGAGAAATAATACAAATAAACATACGGGACGTGAAAATTCGATGGTAAGAGGGGGTTATAGAAGAAAAGTAAGGATGTAGAAGGATTCACAAAAGTGGATATGACTATCTACCTACGACAGCTCAAACTATGGCAAATATTAAGAAAATGCAATAGTCAGATGAATATGAAGGAAAAAGCAACAATATACACGAGCCTACCAAGGCAACATGAGAGGATGGGCAAATAGGATTGCTCAGTAGTTTACTGCACAGCATACAGAGTCCGCAAACAGAAATATATCGGCGAAACAGGAGGGAAAAGTAATAATACGAATAAAGAAACAGCAAAGGCTCTGCAGGAAAGTGGGTACCGGAAGATCAGAAATGGCAGAGCGCATAGCACAGACTGGATCAGAGATCCGTTGGAAGGCAATAGAAAGAAGGGCCGCATTCGATGAGAACACAAAGAAAGATTAGGGGAAGCCATTGATATCATTGCGGAAAGAAAGTTAATGAACGGGAAGTTGGAGGAAGGCAGTGTTAGCGATAACTTTTCCTATTGCTTAAACAGACTCGGAGAAAACAAGGATACGGCAGGACCAGCAAAATAAAGCGCATGAATCAAACACCTATAATTAATCAGAAGAGAAGGGATCGCAACATTTGGAAATCAAGGGAAGACGTTTTCAATAAGTGTAGTTTGTATGAGGAAACAACTATAACTCGCGGTAATAAGACTACGGAGACGGATTATTACAACCGTCACGGGAATTCGGTACCATGGTCAAGTTGACTAGAAATCGACTCAAAAGGGAACAGGTGACCAGAGACAGACGTCCACAGTTTGTAATGGTGGCCAAGTTGAGCGAATCAGGGAGACAAGGACTGATATCTGCAAACATTGAGTCAGAACCCAGGCGCTATGCTCGGTGTGGCGACTGTTCGCGTGCTACTGAAGGTTTGAGAAATAGCGCCCGGAATAAAACGTAGTTTGGGACTGGAACCGGCTGAAATCTGCCAACCAGAAAGATAAGAAGAGAATCCACAGGCCTATGAAGGAGGTCCGGATGGGAGGCCCGAATCGGATCAGCCACTCGAATGGGAGGCGGGTAGGAAAACAACAAGTGCGGTGACAATGGCACGCCTCTTGAGGAGGAGAATATAAGCAAGAATGAAGGTGTAATAGGACGGGAGTGTGACAAGAGGGTAGATGTGCAAGGACAGGAAGAAGAATGATAACACAAAAATTTGAAAGAAGATAAGTCAAGGGAGTGAATAAACTTGCCTCTTTGATGAGTTGTAGCTTGATGCGGAGAATGGCAAGACTCACCGCCGATGAAAAGTCTGGCACTGTACCAAGTCCACAGTCCAACGATGGGAATTATCACAACTAGCATAGCAGATGACTTCGGGTGAGATGCATGCAACTAGGTTGTCCTGATAATGCGACCAAATTGCGAAATTGAGACCGGACAACTTCTAGTTTCCTTTAATCCTCCCATTTACTTGTCCCATCAAATGATTCCTGTCAAGCGCCGATTAATTATTATCATTGCTTCCTCGTAAGCATTACACGATACTGAATCCGCTAATTCCTCATTCTTGGCTTTCCATACACGTGGAGAGGCTTAAGTGTAAATGAATGGAGATTATGTTGAGAATGAGGAAGCGCAACTTCATCGGCTGGCGGAATCAGGTCTAGGTACACATATGATGACATCGCAGGAGATTCATCGAAACCCACTTTCTCTTTGCATCTATAATACAAGGACTCATAAATCTTCGAAGACTAAGATAAAACCTGCGAATACAACTGCAAAGGAAAGTTTAAATCGAAAAAGGATGAGGTGGGACTGCTAGATGAATTTGTAAAGACTAGATGAATTGTGGTATCTCCCCTTCTGCCCTGGTCTATTCACATTTCCTATATCCTCCTATCACACCTTCCCTGTCACAATTTTTACCGTGCTTATTCTTAATGTAGTGTCGTGTGCTCCTTCGAGCGGCATTCCTAAAAACCCTTCACACTCCACACTGTCGTTATCACCCCCTTCACTCTTGTGCTGGGACTGTTCACCAGAGTCTGTCATATTGTTACGTAGTCTTCCCTCGGTCCTGTCAAAGTCTCCCTCTTGCCCCACCGAATTCGTCTGCTATCACCCTAGTACATTTATTTCACTCGACCACTGCCACCCCCCGTCTGTACTATTCGAGACGTAATTCGTCCATCCCTTGCACCCGGGTGATTGATTAGAGGCTAAAGCCTCAGAGTAAGTCT